AAATGTCGAAAACGAAGACGTTGATGACGAACGAATTTTCAAAAATTATTTAACTAGTATAAAGTGGTTGTGGCCGGTGTATTTATCGAAAAATCCGGGAACTATGATGGATAACATAATTTCAAAACTACATCAATTTAATGTAATAAATGCTGATAAATACGATGAGTTCAAAGAATTATTAGACGAATATAACAATGCAAGAACAACAGAAAGAAAAGGAATTCGTGCTCGGTTAGAAACATATTACAATGACAATGTTTATAACAAATACTTCAAACAGAAACCAAGTTCATCAACTCAACAATAAAAAAATATATAATATTTAATATGACTGTTAAATATTATGGATTACGCCGACGCCCTACTTTTGAAGAAATGCTAAAGGAAGCGATGACGCACAGATTAAAAATTGAAATCATCCCCGAAAGACAGGTAATTGACTTGTCAATCAACAATATAGATTTTGAAGATTTTGACCTTTCAAAATACGATAGGAGACTACGGTTGAATGCTAGGGTTCAAACTGATAAACAAGTTCTTCAACACGAATTGTTCCCTGATATGTTTGATGAAGTAGCACCGACATCACAGTTATATGAAAACAACGAGGCAGACGCACAAACAACACGATATATAGCAAAAGATTTTGCTGATGAAATTTATAGTAATGCAACTTCAGGACCAAAAGATGAACCAAAAGATGAACCAAAAGATGAACCAAAAGAAAAGCAGGAAGATTTACAAAGTCTTCATTTAACATCATCATCGTCATCAGCATCAACCGAAAAAGATAAGAAAGAGGAAAGCCGAGAAATAAAATCGTTAAGAAACATATTTTTAGGTGGAGAAGACAAGAGCGTATTTGAACTATTCAAACGTGACAAGAAGACATCCACACCATCAGAACAATCAAGGGAACAGGAAGAAGAACAACCGAGGGCATCATTCTGGTCAAGACGACAGGTAGAAGCAAGAAGCAGAAGTCGCTCGCTGAGCGCGCGAGGCTCGTCCGAGCGTCACTCACCAGAAGAAAGAGCAAGAGGTAATCAAATGAACAGAAGACAATTAGAAACAAGAAGCAGGAGCAACTCACCCCAAGAAATAGCTAGAGGTAGTGAATGGACGAGGGAACAAATGGAAACAAGAAGCAGGAGTAGAAGCCCAGAAAGTACAAATACAAAAAGTAGCCGAGGCAAGAAGAAAAAATAAAAACTATTTAAAGACAAAACGCCCTAATATAGTAAAATGACAGGAATCTTTATTAACGGTAATAGTAAACAGAGAATAACTAATGATGAATTTTATATGATGGTTGAACTGATGAAAGCAGAAAACGACTTAGTCTTACAGATGATAAGCGAACAGAACCAGACTTCGAGCGATGGAAATGAGCAACCCGTGAGATGGAGGGACGACCAGAAGAACTACCACCAGAATTACTACAACAATAACCTAAAACAGTCTTACACTTGCGAGGACTGTGGAAGGACGATATCAAGCAAATCAAATTTATCTAAACACAAGAAATCTAAAATTTGTTCGCAAGCTTCGCAACAATGCACATTATGAAAAAATAATAATCATTCATCTTATTAAAAACACTTAATGAGATTAATGCGTTCATTCTCAACCCGAAACCCATTTTCTCCAACAGTCAACCCCAGCCCGAAAAACTACTTAAAGAGAAAATACCTTATATTATATAGAGTATAGTATTATGGTTACCATGTCAGAAAATAAAATCATAGATTTCATTTTAAACAGCCAACAAGGCGAACTAATACAAAAAGAAGGGAGGCAAACACAAAAACTCAAAATAGGTGATAAGACCTACAGATATGATAAGAACAAACCAGTTTCAAACGTATTGAACACGAAACTCAAGGAAGTGGCGAGGAGTGACGGATATAGAAAGCATGGCCTTTTAATGAAAGGTGCTAATTATCTAAAACTAACGAGAGGTAGACCCTTACAGGATTATGTCAAGCGATTCAAGTCCAAAATCACAGACGAGCAACAAGCGTTCAAGGGATACGCCAACACCTACTCGGTAAGTGATATAAGATTAAAGGGGTTGAAAGGTTTATCCTACTTAAAATACCAGAAGCAACGACTGGCCGAATTCCTGAACAGAAACCCGAACATGAAAATAATCGTGAAACTGATTTATCATTCAAAAATCCCGACAATGAACTTATTCAAAGGAGGTTAAGAAGCAGAAGATACAATATTCAGAATACCGATGAGTTGAACAACGTCTTAAACAACATTGGGCATGACATTGAGACACAAATTGAAGTAGTCGAAGACGTTCAGTCGAGTTTGGTTCTTGTCCAAGTTGAAAAGTTAGTCATCAGTTATGATAGGTACAATCCTACCCGTGGTTCATCCTTTATTGCATTGCCCGACTGGGTGGCAAACAAAAAGGCTTGTATTAATATTAAAAATGAGGATGACTTATGTTTTAAATATGCTGTTCAATGTGGATTTTATGAGTTATTCAAAAAAGACCATCCCTGCGAGATGTATCATTATAAGAAATATGTAGATGACAAATTTATCAAGTGGGATAATATTGACTTTCCAGTAGGTAATGATGAGATTGAACTATTTGAAGAACAGAACAAACACATATCGGTCAATGTTTATTACATAAACCCCGATACGAATAGTAAAACTATTTTATTATACAAAAGAAGCAACAACCCACAAGCACAACACAAAATCGATTTAATTAAATTGACTGATGAAGTTAAATCGCATTACGCTTATATCAAAAATTACGATAAGTTAATGAGTAGTCAGACTAACAAGATGAAGGCGAAGAAGTATCACTGTAGAACCTGCTCACATGGTTTCAAGACCGAAGAACTTTTAAAGAAACACGAAGAACAGGGATGTCTAGCAGTTGAGGGTCAAAAAAGAGAAATGCCAAAAGCAGGTGAAACAATAGCATTCAAAAACCATTTCAAGAAACTTAAAGCTCCATTCGTAATCTATGCCGACTTTGAATGTTTAACTGTGCCAATTGATGTTAAAAGCAAATCGGCAAAAGCTAAAACTACATCATATCAAAATCACCGTCCGTGTGGTTTTATGATTAATGTAGTCAATGCCATAACCGGAAGTAGTGAGCCTTACTTATATAGAGGTGAAGATTGTATGGATAAGTTTGTTGAAAAAATCAATGAAGTCAGAGAAGATATTATTAGTAGGATGAAGGAAGTAAAAGAGATAATCATGCCTGAAAAGGACAAGGAAGATTTTGTCTGTGGAAATGATTTTAAACCTGAGGACAAGAAGGTTCGAGACCATTGTCACTTTACTGGAGCTTACAGAGGATGCGCCCACGATGATTGTAATCTTGGTTTTAGTATGAGATATTATAAAATCCCTGTGTTTCTTCATAACCTTAAAAACTACGATGCCCACTTAATCATCAACAAGGCTCACGAACTGAACAAGAATTCTAAAATAGAATGTATCGCTCAGAACAGCGAAAAGTTTATAACCTTTGGTTTTAAAAATCTTTGTTTCAAGGACAGTTTCAGTTTCTTATCGTCTTCGTTGGATAAGTTGGTGAAGTTGAGTAAATATGAGGATGATAAAAAGCGTGAGAATTGGAAGAACAATTTCAGATACAGCGTTAGAAACCCGTATGTTAAAACCGATGAAGATTTGGATTTGTTGACTGATAAGGGTATTTATCCCTATGACTACTTTGATGATTTTGAAAGATTTAAGGAAAGGGCTTTACCGCCGAAAGAAGCGTTTTACAGTAAATTGAGTGAAGAACATGTAAGCGATAAAGATTATGAAAGGGCACTAAAAGTATGGGGGCACTTCGGGATTAGAACACTCGGGCAGTATCACGACTTGTATTTAAGAACTGATGTTTTACTACTGACCGATGTATTTGAAAACTTTAGAGACTTGTGTATGGAATACTACGGTTTAGACCCCGCTCATTATTACACGTTGCCAAATTTCGCATGGGACGCGATGCTTCTAAAAACTGGCGTTGAAATAGAACAATTGCATGACCAAGAAATGTTTGAGATGGTTGAAAAGGGAATGAGAGGTGGTATGTGTCAAGTCAGTCATAAATTAGCGGTGGCAAATAATAAGTATATGGGGGAAGCATATGATGAGAACAAGCCATCAAATTATATTACCCAATAGACCAGATTAGTCAGAAAACTAGGAATTACCTAATTTATAGAATTAGATCTAATTCTATAAATTAGGTAGATTTTTTTGTGGTGGAAAATAGTTTATTTTTTTAACTATTTAGTCTCGTTGTTGCGCCGAAAAAATAGTATATGTAGACTATTTGGCCCGGCGCGATTCTAACTAATAGTCTATTTTTTTGGCTCCAAAAACACACACGATTTTCTAACTAATAGTTTAGACTATTTTCTAACTATTAGTTAGAATGTGCCGGGGACAAATTTCTACCAAACTGCGACCAAACTGCGACCAAACTGCGACCCCTCATGTTTGACGACCAAACTGCGACCAAACTGCGACCCCTCATGTTTGACAGCCCTTCACAGCGCGCGCGCATGCGTGCGCTGCTGTGGCCTTTCGCTGCGCGCAAGCTCTCTCACTCTTACACACAAATCTTGTTCCCCCCCCGTTCATGTGACAATATTTTCATGTGAGCGCATTTGCGCGCAGATACACTTGGGTATAACTCCCATGCGCCGTTTCGGCAGCGCTAGGCCATGAGATTTTCGTCTCGCATTCTTAACAAAGGCGCCTCTCTCGAAGCAAACCCTTCAAGATGCATCTCTCAAGGTGTGTCTCTCAAGGTGATCCCCTAAAAAAAACCTCTTAGATCTTCTGCGAAAAGTATTTGCGATGACCCCTTTGGCGGGCTCCTCGTGTTTTCTTGTCTGTTGCATGAAAGACAGCTTGACGGCGCGCCTTTTTTGCACACACAGTACGCGAGCGCAAAGTGCTTTGGGGTGTGAGAAAGACAGAGAGCAACGCCTTCATCCGTGACGTTTCTTGAACAAGAAATGCAATCCGAGGCGGTAGTGGCGGGCCATTTTCAAATTGGTTTGGCCCGGGGTGTTGCCCCTGGTGCAGCTCTGCGCCACTTGTTGCATCTTTTGCATCATGTCTTCCCCGCAAAACACCCAAATGAGCCGAGGGTTGATGTGACGAGCCAGGATGGCGAGCTCTTGCAGCATGTGACATTTCGAAGTCACGTCGAAATAGGCAATACCTTCTTCCAAGAAATGTTCAGCAACTTGGGTTTGCAATTGGAGCATTGTCGTGCATGTGTTTTCGAAGTCCTCAGCAGGCCCAGGGGGGAACGCGAAGTCGTCTTTGTACTCTGTGATCATGTTCTCCAGCTGGCAGTTTAACTGCAACATCAAGTTGATCCGGCGATGAAGAATCAAATGAGGGTTCATGTGAGCATTCCATAAAGCGTGCAAAGCTGCCCCGAAGTGCCTGACCTCGGCAGCTTTGCCCCGCAATTTGGGGAAGCGGCCGCCTTGCCTCACAAACATAGAGAGACGGTTCAAATATCGAAAAGGCGATGGGGTGCCATGGTCCTTGAAAAACTGTTTCAAGAACGTCCAGCGCTGTAAGAGATTCTCTTCGGGCTCGTTCGCCATGACCGTATGGCACAGAAAAGCTAAGACAGATCCGTATTGATACATGTCAGTGCCTAGGTATTTGACGTGCATCCAATCGTAGGCGACTGTCCAGCAAGAGGCACCTGGAAGGGACAGCAGCGGGCATCGAGAATGCTCTTCCCAAGCACGCCACGCGCTAGGAGTCCACTTGGTGGCTCGCCAGCTTGCAGTTGCCCGAAAATCTGTCCATGTGTCATCGCCCGCCTTTTTGCATTGACAATGCGAGCACGGCCCTGCCGCAGAAGAGTAGTTTGGAAGGCCCAATATTTTATTGTAATAATCCAGGTCCCCTGTGAGGGCAAACAATACTCCCCGATATCCTCCAGCTAGCCACTTTCCCGCCAGCCTGTGCCCTTCACTTCCAGCAACATACCTGCGGCGGCCGTCAAAGTTGTTGCGGGGGGCGCAGCTTGTTGTATTTGTACGCTTTTGTTCCTATTTTGGTGTGGGTGCCATGCATGCGACAAAAATGCCTTAAATAAGAACAAAAAACAAAACCACGCCCAATGATTTTTGTGGTGGCCGAGATGCCTCTTCCCCTGGAAGTCGGCGCTTGGCCATTTCCCTTCCATCAAACACAGGAAGGACCATCGTAGCACTGCAAAGAAAACGCCTCTGGTTCCTTCAGAGACAGAGCCTTTGCTCATGCGGTCATACATGCTCCAGACCCAGAATAAGATTTCTTTGGTCTGCCCTTGCCCTATCAACGAATACCACGAAAACATGGTCATAACTTTGGACCACCCTTTGCCAAGACCGACCACCGGCACGCCGTCTCCATGGACGGCGAGCGGCACAACCTTGGACTTGTAATCGGCAACGTCCCGGATGGGGTGGCTCTCCATCTGTGGATGAGAATCCACTGCGCTCCAAAATCGTTGCAGGGTTTGCTCATCAGGAAGAACAGACGATCGCCAAGTTTCTGGGTAGTCCCGCCACAAAGACGCGAAGAGCTGGTGTGGCAAGAGCATTCCCTGCAGCGACTCGCCGAAAGGCAGGGCGAAGGGAACTCGAACTCGAAATGGCTCTGGTAGTTGGCTCAAGTGCTCGACTTTGTTCATCAGGTCAGCATGGCACTTGTTTTTGTAAGCGCCGTTGGTGCCTATGCCAGCAAGGACGCAAGGACTTGGCCATTTTCTATAGAGGCTTCCAAGTCTCGAACAGCCAGGGCAGCAATTTCTTGGATCAGTTGGGGAGACATAGCCCCCCAAGCAAAAAGTTCCAGGAGGAGCGCGGCAAGCTGGCTTTCATTGGTGAAATTGCCTGCCTGTTCGTTGGCGGTGGCTTTGGCCATGCGCTGCCTGATTCCCCCAATCTTTCTGCGCTTAGGTAAGCGATCCATGGCGCGGCTGGGTGAAAGTGTGAAGCAAGTCTTGTTTATATGTTCAAACAATGCTCAGTGTGGTAAAATCAGCGTTTTCTGCTCAATTGACAAACCCATGCAACAATTGACAAATCCTGCTCCTTTCCGCTCAAAGGTTACCTTTGTGTGTGTATATGAAGAACTTTGTGCGTCGCAGTGTTCTACGCAACATCAAGGAAACAGCATATGTCTCTCAGGGTGTCTCTCAGGGTATCTCTCAGGGTGTCTCTCAAGGTGTGCGCAGCTACCAAGCGTTTGTCTCTCAAAAGGGCCACAGCGCGTGTGCCTCTCGAGGCTCAGCAATGTTTTGCGCCGCATTCACGGGTGTGCCTGAAGTATATTCTTGCGCTTATAGCTGCTGTGGCCAGGTGGAGCCCCGTAAGGTGCTTCAAAACACAAAAACGGAAGCCTCAGTTGCGCCTTGCCTTGAGGATGCCCTTGACGCTTTCGATCTCTTTGTTGTACTTGTCAACGTCCCGGGCAATGTCAAGCAAGAAGTTGTCCAAGGCGCCTTTGGTGAGTGGGCCATCGGTGTTCGGGAGTTCCTTCCAAGTCTTGACGTGTTCAATCTGGCTCTGGTGCTTGGTCAGGTCGGCGTAGGCAGCCTTGAGGGCTCCCTCCTTCTCCGCCAAGCCCCTTTCCTTGGAAAGCTTCAAGCCCTCTTTCAGCAACTTGTCGCACGCCGTGGCTGCCTTGGCCAGCGTCTTGAGGAACCCTTCAGGCAGATGAGCATCCTGTTCAAGCCGAGTCTGATCAGCCTTAGCCCACAAGTCTTGCAGCGCTGGTGGGGACACAGTTGTTGCAGCTTTACTTCTCCAAAGGAATGTCCAGAGTAAGAATAAACTGGAAAAGGGCGAATGGATGCTAGCTTTGCAATGTTTATCCCCCATCCAATTGTTTCAGGAAACTGTTTCTCTCAAGGTACCCACAACCAGCGTAAACCATTCATTTTCCTTGTGAGAGCGTTGCCTTGAGAGCACAAAGACTCACCTTGAGAGCGACCACACACTTTGAGAGAAACGATAAACTGTGAGAGCCAAAAACACGTTCAGAGCAATGCGACTTTGAGAGTGATTGGGGGGGGGGCAGCCTGGGGTCATCTGATAAGCGAAGCGACTGACAGCACCGACACAGAAACCCTGAGTGTGACAAATAGTGACAAAAGGCAAGCCCCGAGAGCAACGCCCGGACCCTGCCTTCTTGCAGACCCACTCCCACTTCATCTTCGACATGAGCCCCGCCAACGTGTGGGCCTCCTGGCTTTTGAGCTTCTTGGACCCCTCAACTGTTTCACCACGTTCGTTGGTCTTGACCTCCATGGTTTGCAGCTCACGGAAGCTTAGGTACTCCATACCCGCATCGTCCTTGTGCGACTGCAACTCGCCCTTAGCAAGGCTAGCCTCCATGGCCCTGGAGTCGCCATGGAAAACGGAAGCCAACATGATCCCCCCGCGGCATTCCCTTCTTCTTGTCCTTGGCGACGTGTTGGACGTAGATCTTCTGGTACTCTTTGAACTGGTGAGACTCCGTGTTCATCTTGTAGGATCCATCAGTTTGCTTGTTGAACAGTCCATTGATCAGATTCGTCTGGAACTGCCGTTGGCTCTGCGCTTTCTTGGACTCGATTTGCCACATGTGAACCACAGCTAGCGGCAATGCCCCAGCCTTCATTAATTTGCCGAATTTCTCGGCTTTTCCTTTGTCGCGCAATTGGTTCTCTTCCTCATCATCCTTGGACGAAGCAGCCGTCTTGATGTCATCCACCATGGCATTGATGGTCAGCTTGTTCGCAGCTGGCTTTTTCGTGGGCGCACCAGACGTAGCCTCGCTGGCCGCAGGCCTCTTCATAGCTGGCATGGCCAAGCGGGGAATTGGCAATGTGCTGTTTCTTTGCACAGCGGCTGGATGCTGAACAAGGCAGGCAGAGGCAAAGCAACTCAATGTGTGACACACCTCTCATGGTTCAAGGGGAAGGGCGGCCGCTGCCCTGGAAACACATCCCACCCTCACAGTTTCGAGCACACCTTTTTGTTTGAAATTCACATGTGTTCTGAACACGAACAGGCAAGACGTGCGATTATAGTTTGGCCTTCAGAAATTGGCTAGACCCTACATGAAACAATGTCGGGAGCATGTCGCTTGTGAGTGCGTTACACTTGATCACCAGCGCATTCCTTGAAGCTATGAGACGCCGTTGGTATCTTGACGCACTTCTACGCGCTGGGATACAAGCAGCTGACGATGTAGAAGAAGAACCGCCTGTAGAAGATGAAGACAACAAGACTATCTTTTCAGACGAAGGCAGCAACTGCAGTGAATCTGTTGCAACAATTGTTCCAGAACAAGCTGAGTTGCCCAGGGAAGAACAAGCTGATACTCTTCAAGAACAAGCTGAGTTGCCCAGGGAAGAACAAGCTGACACTCTTCAAGAACAAGCTTACTTGCGCAGGGAAGCCTCACCTGCGCCTGCATTGTGTAGTAGTGAGGATGCCTGCAAGGGCGCTGAGCTGGGACCGCAGGAAGCATCTAGTTCTTCTAGCGCATGGCAGTTCATTTTGAATGGCCAGGCATGCTCTTCAGGTAAAAAGTGGAATAGCCATTTCCCTGAGGTGGCAACGATTACGTGGGTGGGGGGCGAGCAAATCTCTATCAGAAGGGTGGCGTGGGGGTCGCAAAGAATTGTGTATGAATATCCACCTGGAAAGGTCATCAAGTTTGCGCGAAGCCTGTCAGATAACGAACCTGACATGAAGCTGAGCCTGTGGGCTCCTGACCTAGCGCCTGGCGTTTATGGTAGCTGGCATGGCACCTGCTCATTTGAGGGGCACATGGCATTCCCGTTGCACGCGGTGGTGCAAGATCGCTTTGAAACTGCTGAGGAGTATTTGGAACGGCATCCTCCCGCTGATGTTTACTTCGCTGAGCACGTTGTTGCTATTTTGGCGCGCGCGACCCTTGCAGGCGTTCGGGTGATGGACGTTGGCTTTCGTAACCTCGGAGTTCGTGAACGCGGCGAGCTTGAAGTTGTATTTATTGACGCTGGCCACTTTACATTTGACTCGAGCAATACAGTGTATATGCCTGGTAAAAAAAGAACCAAGGGTGCTTTTGCGAGCATTAGGCACTACTTCGGCAAAGACGTTGCGGATGCGCTGATGCAGCTTACACAGGACCAAGGACACCACGCCATTAGGGTACTTGAAGCTCTGAGCGAGCGCTTCCTCAGGAGGTGTGAGACGTGAGAGTGGCGAAAACAAGACTCGGGGGAAGTTGGGGAGGTGACGTACTCAGTGCAAAAGGTGAGAGGCGTAGTTTGCGCAGTGGTTTGCTCACAACATGTTCCTCTCAGTCACTTTCGATGTCGCTTCTCACCCCTGTGAGCCCAAACAAACGAGCCCAATCCTGCTGGTTGAAAATCAAACTAACCTAAAGTGGAAACTCTTTTGACGATTGCATTTGTTGGAGAAACACCTTTGCGCCAGAGAGACCGCGCCGTGAGAGAGACACTTTGAGAGTGGTCTGCAACCTTGAGAGATGGCACCTTGAGAGGAACCAAAACATATTGGTTTCCTAAAGAATCTTAACGCCCCCAAGCCCCTCCCAAGACTGTTCCTCTCAAAATTCACAACCATTTTAGTACAGTTTTTCATTGCCACATTTAAGGGAGTTGAAAGGGGGGTCGAAGTTTGGTCGAATGTTGGTCGAAACTTCGACTCGCAGTTTGGTCGTAGTTTTACATGCTCATATCATAAAACATTGGTATTTACAGTGTTTTAACAAAACTGCGACCAAACTACGACCAAAGTGCGATCAAACTACGGGTCGAAGTTTCGACCAACATTCGACCAAACTTCGACCCCCCCTATGTGGAGAGACATGTTGTCAACGTATGTTTCTGGAAACTCAGCTTTGTTTTTTACTGGGAAATCGATATCTAAGAACAAACTCGGGGCTGCGGGGCATGACGAGCCTCAAGTTGCTTTGGCGCAGCAGGGGCATTCCGGCTCTCAAACAAGTTATCATGCTTGTGGGCGCGTAGCTGTGGCCATGGGAGTGGTGGCCAGTGTTACACTGGAACTCTAGCTTCATTATGGCAAAATAGACCCATTGTTGTTTTTCTCTCAGGAGAGCGATCTGTGTCGGCAAAGCGCCCGGCCTCACTTCTTGGTCTTTGTCTTCTTAGTAGATGATGAGGACGCGCCCTTGCCACTGTTGTTTGTTCCTTGGCCACCCTTGTCCTTTGCCTTGCTCTTCCCCTTTCCGCACTCTTCTTCCTGCATGTTGCAGTTGCCCTCCACAGACTTCTCCTCCTTGTCTTGATTCTTGTTGTCCTTGATGAGATTGAGCAAGCTGTCGGCAAGGCTGGCAGTGACGGGGCTGAGGAATTCTGGCAAGGTTCCCCGGGTGCTTCCATCGTTCATGACTGCGAAGCCAACAGGTGGCCCCAACTCATCGCCATCTTCAGCATCAAGAGCATCAAGATCAAGCATTTGGGAGTCGCCCTCAAAGTGTTGCGAGGACATGGCGCGATGGAATGAGCTGTGCAGCAGCTATGCGTGCGCAATGTCTCCCAAACGCCTGCGTGTGGCAAAGGTCAGCACAAACAAGGAGAGAAACCGTCGAAACATGTATAAGGGTTTGGGGCCATGAGAAAGTTTACCGCCTTTCACGTCGACTGTGAGTGCTTAAGCGTGCCTTGAGAGCAAACTTCAAAGGCTTACTGTTGCTTGAGGCCTCATGTGATTTGCGTGGCTCCAGCCCCCCAACTCAATCAAATGGCGTTGGCTTCCAACAAAGGAGGGTTGGATTTGGTTTGCGCCGTGAAGGATACATTATCCCTCTCAGCAGTGTCCTGACAGCGTGTTGCCCCTCATAGTTTCTCAAGGATCTCAAGGCAACCCTCAAGTTGTTTTTTTGAAGTAGCTCCACACAATTCTCTCAAACAGTCTGTTGTTTAGGGTATCTCTCAAAGTTCTCTCAGGGTTTCTCAAGGTCTCTCTTACTACAGTTTCTCTCAAGGTCACTCTCAAGGTGTCACTCAAGATCCCTCTCAAGGTGTCTCTCAAGGTGTCTCTCAAGGTGTCTCTCAAAGTGTCTCTCAAGGTGTCTCTCAAGGTTTCCCTCTAAAGGTTTCCTGGGGGCTTCTCTCAATGTGTCTTTCAAGGTTCCTTGACTTGAGCCTTGAGGTGTCTCTCTCAAGAAGTTTGGCAGCGCTTGTCTTTAGATCACACTCATGCATACAGCGCTTTGCAGACTCATCTCCTAAGTCTTCTAGATGTGTGCCCCCTGACAGCTCAGGATTTATGACCCAAAGCTTGGCGCTCAACGTATCTCAGCACAGCAAGTTTGAAAACAACACTAGCGCGCCTTTTTCCTTTTTCACTCCAATGTGTACATGCGTTAGCTTCGCCTCCGCCTGTAATGATGGCGATGGCAACGCAGGCTCGAGCTTGACAGGCCCGACTGGAAGTGGCAGCAAGGTGCCCGCCTCTGCATCTGTCTCTGGCGTGGTAGGCAAATCGTCGGAGTCGTCCGCGTCTTCCGTTGGATCCATGTAGGAGCTGGAGGGCCTGGAGGAGCTGGAGGGGCTGGAGGAGCTGGAGGAGGTGGAGGAGCTGGAGGGACAAGGTCAACCGGGCCCCGCCTGCCACAGCCGCTTGGTGAAGCTGCGCCATGCCCCGCTGCGCCACGCCCCGCTGCGCCACGCCCCGCTGCGCCGCGCCCCGCTGCTGCCCCGCGCCAAGAAGGTGGCCCTGAGGCAGACTTGGCTTGCGAACCCACGATCGGCGCCGCAGGAGCTACCGGAGCCAGGTTGACAGGGTAAACAGCGCCGTCTGTTCGCGGGCGAGCTGCCTCCGCGACAACTGGGTACTTTGACAGGAAGTAGGTTCCGGCCAGCGACACCGCCGCATTTTAAGAACAGCCTGCACGGGGGCTCAGCCATGGCAAAGATCACAAGCGTACCAGTTGTGTTTCAGCTGGTCTGCATGCAGGCGTCGCCCAGGAGCTGTGCTTGTTGGCTAGCTTGTGTTTCCTGTGTTTCCTTTGTCTTTGAGTATACTTGCTCACGTTGTCCCTCAAAGTATAGTCAGAGCCTAAAGATTCAAAACAAACCGATCTTCTCAGATGCATTCACTCACACAGCCTGCGCCTGTCGCACACCCCGGGGGCATCACAAGCAAGCACAGGTGGTAAAACATCATGACGGCTCACAGGGGACAGTGGCGTAACAGGGTTTGTAATTCGTAGGCTGTACATAGGCGCTTGTTGTTCTCGAGTCACACGCACATACGCAAGGGTGCATGAAATGGCTCTCCCATGGCGCTGTCAAAAGTGCTTTGGTTCCTCTCAGGGTGCCATCTCTCAAGGTTGCAGGCCACTCTCAAAGTGTCACTCTCACGGTGCGGTCTCTCTGGGGTAAAGGTATTTCTCAAACACAAAGGCAATTGTCAAAAGGGGTTCCAGTGACTTTAGGTTAGCTTGATTCTTCCACCCACCAAGTTCATACCAGTTACCCTATAAGGTCATTTCAGAGCCTTATCTTCAAGGCAAATTCCAAACAAACGCCCCCAAGCCCCTCCCAAACTGTTACCACACAGAGTCACTGAAGACACCACCTTGAGAGACACCACCTTGAGAGACACACCAAAAACCTTGAGAGACGCCACACCGTGAGAGACACGGCGCCTTGAGAGACGCTACACCTTGAACCACCTTCTGAGAGACACCGCGCCTCGAGCGACACCATCTTGAGAGACACAACGCCTTGAGAGACACCACGCCTTGAGAGACGCCATGCCTTGAGAGACACCACCTTGAGAGACACTACCTTGAGAGACACCTGAGGACAGAGAGAG